AAATCATGTTAACTTACGGATAGATAGGTACGTGATATATTTTACGAGGAAAAGGACTCTCGTAGTAAATGGAGAGAGACTTTTAATATACAGATTTGTGTGGAGTTAGGAAAACCTCGGCAAATAAAATGGAAGAACTAAATACGCGCCGTAAAATTTCACAACGGAATTTTATCTGTTACTCAGTTGGTTTATTTTCTTTTTCATTTACAAATAAACGGACCACTCGTTCGAAAAAGAATTAGAAAAGAATAGGCTTTCGAATTTGCGAATTACTGAAACATACTTTATGAAAAAACATAAACTCCTAAATGTCCTTCCTAAACTCATGTATTTTAATACGTATCAAGTTTTTACATAGAAGGTAGATTGCGTGCATTAATAAAATCTAAACAAAAGGATGTCAAATTTGTCTACAGCCATGTATAACAAAAATTTACGTGGATTTATCACGAGAACAATCGCCCTTATTTGCCATAACTGGAGAGCCGAGCGTTGCGTTGGTTGCAACATTTCTTCGTGATTTTTTCCCATGATGCACTTGAAATCAACATCAAATCTACGTAGGCGTACGATGCCGGATTAGTGTCGCGCTGCGCATGTGCGGAGCCGAGCACAGAGCGATCGCCGATTGGCCATTTGCATGCGGAAACTGGTTCGGCTAATTGTTTGCTCATGTTCACAAATTGATATTCGCCTTCGATATATCATTTTAATGGGCGTGCGGCAATTTGTCTCTCGGTCGCTCGGCCGGACCCATTTTCCCGGGCCGCTTTTCAAAACGGACGAACCGCGACTCATCGAATCGAACCGGTTCGATAGGACTATCGAGAATCGCTGAACCAGTTCCCCGCTAAAATCGAGCATTTAGAGATCTTTTTAGTAGCTTTTACGCGATGCATCCTGGGCACGATTGATATATTTCAAATTTCGACCATCTTGTGGATTATCTTGGGGAAATTGAAATTTTCATCTGTAGAACAATCATCAAGATATGCCTGTGCCGAAAATCATCCTCCAAAATTTTAAAAAGAAGTCAAATGTATACTGTTACCATTTTGCTACCGATTTCAATGAATCGATTTCGATGGTTAAGTGGAAACCTTACTTTTGACTTTCATCGAAAAAAGTGGAGTTGATTTAACGTTCTGGATGTGAAAAAAATGTGCGAGAACTTAAAAAATGCTTAATTACCTGCCACAGCAGTTAGTTTTACATCTTGGCATTGCTAAAGTAACAGCTGTAGCTGTAATTCAGCATTTTTTAAGTTTTCGCACACTTTTTTTATATCCCGTATGTAAATCAACTTCTCTTTTTTTTCGGGGAAGACTGTAATGATGATTTTCGGCACGAACATCCCTCAATGATTTATCTACCGATTAAAATTTCGATTTTCTTAGTAAAATTAACCTGAACTTTAAAATTTCAAATATATCAATCGCATCCACCATGCACTGCATAACAGCTGAAGATCTGATTAAACTAGAATGTATTCAGATGGATGATCGTGTTGAGGATGGCAACACGGCGCTAATCGACTAAGAATCGTGGTCGAAGCAACCTATATCTGGCGACCTGTTGCTGGTGCTGGGAGTCTCGCCGCGTTTTTCGAATTACTCACTCGTTGAAGTTGGATTTATTCGTGTTGCGTTTGCGCCCTCGGTATATCTTCCACCGCTCTTCGTCGTCCCTGCCGGCTGCCCCACTCAGGTGGGCGGCAACAGCTTAGCAAAAAACGCATCATTCCAAGATCTGACAGTGATTCACTTCACCTCTCTACCGCTCTCCTTCTATTTTGAACTGCAAAATTATCGAACGACGAGCTCTTTTTTTTTTGTTCAACTTATATTGTTTGGTTCGGTTTTTGCCCTTTAGTAAATATAAAAAATCATCACCCTTTTTCTTATTGTGACCTAGAAAAAATGACATAAAATCATAATCAGCTACGAAGTTTAGCAGATGAAAGACAAGATATAGACATTTGAGAAAGACATTTTGAAAAATACATCGAGAGGTAGAAAAACAATAGAGAATTAAATAATCGCGCTAATACTAGTAGCGTCGACTCGTCAATTCCGACCAAAAAAAAATGCTAGAAGAAAAAACTTTTAGTTAGGAAGTTTGGCTTCAAAACAAGGAAAGAATCTACAAGTACGATTATTTTCATGTAAGGGATCTCCACAGGAAAGAAAATACTGAATACAGTCCTAACTGCGGCCAATGAAATTTAATGTGCCACCGAAAGTCTGACGCGCCACCGAAATCGACTCGTCAGGAGGGAATGAAAAACAGTTAGCCGTAAGAAGAGAAGCGCAGAGTAATAGAAACCGTCCTTAGAAAGCCTCGTGTCTGTTAATTTCTTAAGCTCTAACGTTTTTGGCACAATTAATGTCCGGGGAGTGAAATTTTACGGCGCCGATGTGACTTGAAATTGCTACCGGCGAAATCTGATGAGATAATACCTCGTGCCTCCTTCAAAGCCTTCTTGGTCATCGTCTTGCCTCTCCATTTTCATTCCTATCGATTCTTCTTTCATTATGTCTTCCTCTCTTCCGTCCGGTGCGTTTTCCTCTATTTTTTCACCTCGTCGAAAATCCGTTAAAGTCGTAAACCTGCCACCATGAATCAACTTATGCCCAATTAAGTTTACTCCTCTCTGTTTATGTCCACTTACATTAAAATTAATGGTGACGGATGCAGTTCAGTCTTAGAGAGTCAGAGTGTCGCAAAAAAGGGATCGATCGGTTTTCGTTCATCGGATTGATCCAGCATAATGGGCTTAAATTTGCACGAAATGGTCTTTAAAATTCCGACATTCTACGGGGAGGTCCCCTCCTCATTAAAAAGCTTCTCACAAACTCGATGACGTCATCAGTGGTTGCGGAAGGATCGCACTAAGCACCTTTTCTCCTCATGCCGAGCACAACCAGATGTTACAAGTCTAAAATAAGTAAGCTAAGTTCGACTGGAAACATGAGAGTAGGATCAAATAGTCGTCCAATGCTGCTGTGCTAATAAAAAACGCTGTTTGATCATTGGAGATTCGCTTAATTTCTTGAGATAAACTGAAAAATTGGTGAGTATTATGTTTCGGATTTTTCAGAGAATTTCAATTGAATCCGACCCATAGCATCTCTGTTTTGTTTGTTACATGTAAGTAAAAAAAAACGATCCATATAACTTATCGGAATAAATTCGGCAACATGTAAGTGAACATACGGCGTTTGTTCTCGGCGTGGTAGAATATAAGCTCCCTGATTGTTTTTTTTTTTTTTCATATGTAATCTTTTGAGTCACATATTCCGGGATCAATATAAGAATTTGCCTTGATTTTCTGTAGCCAAGCCTTCAGGTGAAAGTTATAATTCCTGGACATTTGAAAGATTTAAATAACTACTGGGCTGAAGCAAGTCGCGATGATGCGGTGAAATTCCTGCAACCAGAGGAGGAAGATTAGTTTGTCGAAGAAATGTTACTTACTGGACGGTATTCGCATGTTCTCCAAAGGGATAAATTCACACGGCACGCTACAGGCACAAGACTTTTCCTCCATTAATCGCTGGGGCCATCGACGCGTGTCCATCTCATCGATTTTATTTTGTAGTTATACTTTTATGCACACGTGTTATAAATGATTTACAATGTTACATTTTACAAGTTTCCCATCGGTGATTCTTGGCTCGCCCGATAATATCTTCTCCGGTGGTGCGCTCGAAGAATTTCGAATATTTTGCGAGCTGGGTATAAAACAACTGTTCAAATTGGATTCGGACTTGGCGAATAATCCCCGATTTTTTATTATTATCTATTAAAGTTATGGATCTACCCGCGACACCGAGGCAATTTGACGGCTCGGGAACATCTGCATTGATCTCGGTGCCAGCGTCATCAAACGTTTTTATGACTTTTAACGAGCGGCTAATCTCCGTGTTTACTTAACGCATGTAAATTGGCCTAACGACTCTGGGTAGGGTTGCACGATTTGATAGTTAAGCTCGCCAAGGGTGCGATTTTTCACCATAAATTTCAACAAAACCGCGATGATTTGTTAACCATGGTGTTGAATGGAAGAGTATTACGCTGCACAAGAAAAAAATTGAGTTTGTTGGGAATTTGAAAGAAATGATCGTCACCACTAGCATTTGAATAATATCTGCCGTGGCACACATGCATACTTTCTTAGTTTTTTCATTTCTAAAGAGAAATTGACGTGTTTTAATAATATTACCCGGATAATATTTTATGTAACTCTTTGAGAACATTTTGAAATATTGAGTTGACTTTGCACTGGTGCTGTATCAAGTTTTCGGTTTTTGTAACTTAATGACGGGGATACAGGGGTTTCTCTGCTTAGGGCTGTATTCATTGTCGTTCCTCTTAGTACGAGTCTTATATGATGGACATTGTGATTAAAAAAAGTTCAAGGATTTACTCGACATAGTATCGCAACAAGGACAATTTTTACGGAACTCGACTCATAAATTGACTTTGAAAATGGACCCTAATGATGGATTGCCATGATTTGACACTGTAAAGGAGTAAAAACACGTAGGTAAAATTCTATGATTTTGACAAGCTTTTATGTCAGTCCTACCTTAAACTTTTCAAAACCTGTGGGAAAATTTCCTTTTGTATTTGCATCTTTTGCAAAGGCAAATCAATGCAATTACTCGAAGAGATCTGTTTCATAAGTTATGCTGTTGAATTTGACTCGAAACTATTTCAAATGCGGCCTTTGTTTGATGCTATTATAAGGATATCTTAATACCAATAAACCATATCAGTGCCTTCCGTAAGGAGAGGAGGTGCTTCAGGAAGAGCTACAGAATACAGCCCTTATTTTAGTCAAGGGTAGAGCTTTTGATCTTTGAGGGGCAAAAAACGGGGAAAACATCAGCACCGACGAACGCCCATTGAATGATTTGGATGATATTGTGTGATATCTACAATGTCAAGTAATGGTGACGATTGCTGATTGGTGATTGTTGGTGATGTTTCAGATCGGGACGACTCTGAAGCGGGGCATCCGGCGGGCACTGGCCTCCCTCAAGCCTCGTCCAGCATGCTACTTCTGCAGACACAGGTGAGAATTGAGATTACACAATCCCAACTCGAACTTCCACCCCACACCCCCAAACATTTACAACAACGTACGAGTGTCATTAGAACAGGCATTATGATATGTTGATCCTGAAACTCCCAAAGCATGCATCTCGTTTGCAGTGTTTGAAAATCTCCGCTTCTATTTTATTTTTTTAAAGGAGATCTAATCTTTAATCATCGAAGCTTCATCAGAATTTGTTTCGCACAGAGTAGAAAAATTCCGGAAGTTTATAAGCATTGGCATTAAGTATTTCTCCCTTGAAAAATTAGAGTATATTAGAAAGTCTGTAACGCAGCTAACGAAGATCCGTAGTTTGGGAGTTTCACTGTCTAGAAGTGTTATCAATGAAATTTCAAGTAAAACGCGGTTATAAAGGACAAAAAGGATTTGAGGTAACTCCTTACCGGGAATCTGACAATTTCCGATGCATAATTTCAAAATTCCCGCTTTGTACAGGGTTTTAAGATCACTTTATCGATGGTTTATCACTGTTATTTACCGCGAGCGTTATGAAAGCCAGCACGCCTTCACTTTCTCGAGTATGCAACACGGACATCCGTTGAGCACAAATAGTTGTATCAAAATATCGTCAGTCATCCAACACGTAAAATTTCCCACAAAGCGCTGCAAACTCCGCGATTGCTGCATTGATAATTCGGACCGAATTTAACAGGAACGCACGAAGTTTCAAGTCAAGATTCAATGATAAGGACACAAATAAAGTACCATTTCTGAGGTTGAAGACTAACATGTTTTTCTCGACTTTGAATCGTTGATAAGGAGAGCAACTTTTTTTCCTCGAAAATTCAACTTGGTGGCCTTGGTGCGTTTTTTTTTTAAACTCGGTCTATTTGAGGGTTTCGACGTATGGATAAAAAGGTAGAAATCGTATGCTGTGCTGATAAATTCACGGATTTAATACTACTGGAATGATCTCCGAGCTCGTGAACGTTGAAAGCGAGCTTTGAGGATGGGTAATTTCTGCAAAGTGCGCATCCGGCGATGCATCATCGCTTTTGGCACCGTCGGCGATGAGCTCTTTTCGCCAAATCATCAATTTTTCAACGTTTCCAAGCACCCCATCCCTCCCACCCGTCCGCGGACAGCGTTTCTCGCACCTTTAATTATCCACTCGTCTACAGTGTACGGCGAATCGGCCAACGTGGAAGGTGACAGCCCAGGTCAAACGGACATCAATAGTACACTTAGCGTGCGCCACTTGTTATCACGTTGCCACACCATGCCTAGAAACACGCTTATAGATACGAGGTGATTTCTCTCCTCAGGGAAGTCTCCATAGCGAATCGGGGAAATACAGGGTGTCCGAGGTTTAAACCGTCAAACTTCATAAAAATGTTTTATAAGTCAAAATAAGACTTTCTCGTCAGTTTTGAGCTGCACCCTTTCTCTCACATTTTTTGGGAGAATCGTCATTATTTCTGAATTTTGGTGTTAAGAATGGACTAAAACTCATGAATAAAGGTCATTTACATCATTATTAGCGTTAAATTGACCCATGACAAAAAAAAAAAAAAAAAAAAAAAAAAAAAAAATCGAAACATCAGGTTATAGGATTATTTCTAGGGAAGAAAGGGAAGGGACCAAGTTTTTTACTTCAGCAGAGCCCCCTGAAATCCCCCTTTACCTTGGAATTTTGATGTCATGTGGTTACGAATCCACTTATCGATAATCACGAGGGATGGTCGTTCTTTAAGAGTTTCGATTCATAAACATCTTCAAAATTCAGAATAAACGATGAATTTTTAGAAAAAACTTGGGGGAGGGGAATGTGTAGCTCCAACTGACAACAGAGAACACGTTAGGGGGAAAAAATACGTAGAAAAAAAATGTTATTTTGATCCACATAACACGCTTTTTTAGTCTGGCAGTTCGACTCTGAAACATCCTATCTAATATTTGTGACCGTCCACGAGAAAACATGCATGAATTAATCCATATCAGTGGCTTGATGTGCTTTGTGATATATCGATTGATCTGCCATTTGAACGTATGGAGTAGGATTAATAAGTTGGGTGTTCACAACGAACACCGCAATAATCGATTTTTTGCCACACTGGAAAAAAAAACACATTGGATCAAGAGTCCAGACTCTTGACAACATTGACAAGAAAAAATTCTCTTGATTTAATCGGGTTTTTGCTTGAATCAGAACGAAATCCGCTTAAATTAAGAGGCTTGGTTCTTGATTTAAGCTAGATTCTGATTGAATCAAGAGTACTTTTTCTTGTCGATTTTTTTTAAGAGCCTGGACTCTAGATCCAATGTTTTTTTTTTGTTTTTTTTTTCCAGTGCATAGTTTCAAATGTGGAAATATCGATAATCGATACGCCTCGCCACTGAACCATATGTTAATTTTAACGAAAAAGGAGTTAGGATTGTAACACCCTGTAGGAATACTCTGCACTCAGGAGCCCGACTTGGCACGGGAGTTGAAGATGCGCTTCATTATGCAGACCTGTCGATTATTGATCAACTCCGATTTCCGATAATTGACATCCGTTCGTCCCGGGCCGGTCGCTCGGGCAGTTACACCTCAAATGCACCATTTGAGGACTGGAACAGGAACACGGTGCTCTCGCGGCCGCAACAAATTGTAAAATTGTAAAATGCAAATAGATCACTCGACAGGCTCATGCAAACCCCGACTCAATTCTCCCGAGCATAAACCTTTTAATTCTAAATTAAACCATATGCAAATAGACGATTTTTGCTAAGCACGACAGGACCAGTCTATGATTCGTGCTGACAGTACGAGCCCCGCGGCTTGCAACCTCCGGACGACCTGTCAGCTCTCCTTCCATTCCTCTCTTCGAATTATTCAAGCCACGCGAAGGCGGCATAAACGTAAAAAACTCCCCGAGAAGTATTTCCGTGAATGAACTCCACATTCGCGTCCCTCGATTTCGCGACGTTTCCAAATTTATGATCGAGATTTATGTTTTTAGTGGAAAATAAATTTATTTCACGACCTGAAATTTTGTCTGAATTGTCTTCACTAGTTAGCCAATGGTTGCTCTGTAAAATTTTCAAGCTTTAATGTTGATTTGTGTTTCTCCTAGAAAAGTACTCACTGAAAGTCAACATAGAGCTGTGGCGTGGCGTGCTTTGCGATATATCGATTGATCTGCTATTTAAATCTAGAAAAGATCGATAGACAGAGTTCGCAATACGAGAACCTTAGTGATCGATTTTTCCTTTATAGCTTAAAATCGGGTAATATCGATAATCGATCGTTCACGCCTCGCTTGCTATAAAGTTGTGATTGCTATACATGATTTCAAAGCTCACCATTGAATAGTTATACATGATATAATAATTGATAAATTTATCAATATTTTACTCTAAAAAAATTAAATAAAATGAAAAAAACCGAGAAGAAAAAGAAAGAGAAGGAGGGAGAGAAGAAGAAAAATAAGAAAAACAGTCTAACTCTCTCTAAAAAGAATTCCATCCGAGCCAATTCCTTCAGCGATGCAATTTTTGGAAGAGCCTAGCCAACGCTTGCTCCTCTAGTCGATCGAATGTCGTTACGACCATGAGAGAGTGGGTCCGCATAGGAGTGATAAAGTTTGACGGAAACAATCAATGCAATTAATGGCTCTATTTCGTTGTGAGATGGTTAACAAAACTCGGTTACAACTTCATTAAGGAGATTCGCATAGTCTAGCCCACATTGCTCGAACGCGTCGACGTTTAACGGGGGAATTAACTTGTTAACATGCCCGTCCGTGGAGCAGTTCGGTAAGTGATATAGGTTGGGGCCCCGGCCCCCACCCTCCGCCTCCAATGATTAGAGAATCGGCTTGTGTAAACTCCACATAATTACCTCATTGTGACCGGTGATTAACGCGTCTTTTACCACGATGCCGAGTGGTCGTGTTAGTCTTAATTACCCTTGCGGCAGGGGTGGTTTGGATTAGTGGCGTGGCGTACTTTGCGATGTCTCGATTGTTCTGCCATTTAAACGTATGAAAAAGGATCGATGAACAGGGTATTTGCAACGAACACCATAATAATCGATGCTTTACCACAGCTTCAAATGGGGAAATATCGATAATCGATCATTCACGCGCGCTTCGCGACTGGTTCGGATCGACCGCATCGCTCTTGAATTTTTATTCCTTTTTTACGATCACACATTATCCACGTGTAAAAGCCACAGGATTTTGTCTCGAAAATTAGGGATTTGATTTATTTGAAGAGTGCGTATAAATCTATTTAGAAAAAATAGAGCGAATGGCTCATTAAATGTTTAAATGAAAATACAGTGCAATTAGTCACATACTGGAAAAAAAACACATTGGATCTAGAGTCCAGACTCTTGAAAACATTGACAAGAAAAAATACTCTCATATCTCTAATCAGATTTTTGCTTAAATCAAGAACCAAGCCTTCTAATTTGAGCGGATTTCCTTTTGATTTAAGCTTAAATCTGATTGAATCGAGAGTCTTTTCTCTTGTCAATGTTTTCAAGAGTCTGGACTCTAGATCCAATGTGTTTTTTTTTTCCAGCGTGCGCTTATACCGGCACGGATTATGATGGCTGATCAGCGGTAAGGAGAAAAAGAAGGAAAAAAATTTGCGTCATCGGTGCTGAAACGACCCAATTCCAAGCAATCAGTCAATCGATCAATGAATCTGTCAATCACCATCATAGCTGAATCGAGGACCCCTCGTCTCCGAACTTACATTGGTGCAAAATTGACCGAATGGGCCAATGGGCGTTCCAAGAGCAAACTAAGTGGTGACGGATCCGGAACCAGAGACAATTAGCATAACTATATCCACCTCGAGGAGCTATTACAAACTGATCAACCGCCCCTCCTCTGAAAACGGCAATTTATAACTTCATAATTAGACGTTTACCCCGTTGCATCCAACCTCTTTCGCTTGCAGACTTTTTAGTTATCGCTCAAAGCCGAGCTTATTTCTTAATTACAGTCGGAATTCGCCGATAC